CCCCTCCACCCCTCCACCCTCCACCACCCCTCCTCCACCCTCTACCCCTCCACCCACAGCCGTTTGACCGAGCGTACATAGAGAACCCCGGCCCCATGGTAGTGTTTGCCACACCGGGAATGTTGCACGCCGGACTGTCGCTGCAGATCTTCAAGCGGTGGGCTCCTAGTGAAGCAAACATGGTTGGTAAATAAGTGCTACCTGTTTGACTATATCATTTTGTGAGGCACGCTGACAAAATGAATTACTTCTCGCACTCCTCAAATGGAGAAATTGTCCAAAAATCGACACGAGGGTCAAACTTGTAGATTTTCTATTGATATCATATTCTTTAAATATAACGTGCCTTTTATTGTTTCACACTTATAAATTGTAAAAACTTTATCTACAAGCGTGATGTAGACATTTCCAAAGGGCTCGAATCCAAGGAGTAGCCTAACTCATTTCGTCAGCACCCTTCACATATCGTTGTAAGGAATAATAAAAACATTAACGACTGTTCTATTTGCAATAAGAAAAAGACAAAATGACAGTTTCTGGGGCACTTAAATTGACACAATCTTTCCACTGTGAGTCATAAAGTAGGCAACCCTCTTTATCTTCCCTCAAAGAGGCCTTCATTTTTTAAAACTGTATATGTATTTATTTTTTAAAATTTGGGCCGTAAATGATTCGGAAATAGGAGTTCAGTCTGTGGTGTGGTATACAAGACCTGCCAAGTTCCCTGTTCAAATTGGAACTCTCCTTCCCCCCCCCTGTGAAGAACCGTGATGAGATTTGCACAGAATCCACTTCTTTTTTCTTGAATTCAGTTCCTATTTCTGCTATTAAATGTGACTTATCTTAAATAATGTGAAGTTACATTTTGAAAATGCGTAAATTTTGCAATATTTATGCGGCTTATCGTAAATGAAATGAAAAAATACATAACTTTTATTTGTGTTTATTTTCATGTGTTTGCAATACACATTTATTTGCCTCTGTCAGTCCATAACATAATGTTGATCTACTGGGGTTCTGGAGTCTCTGAATTTTTCCCTGAAACTGCGATTTTTGTCAATTGATTTTTTCCTCAATTGACATTGATTTTTTTCCTCAATTGACACTGATTTTTTTCCTCAATTGACACTGATTTTTTCCTCAATTGACATTGATTTTTTTCCTCAATTGACACTGATTTTTTCCTCAATTGACACTGATTTTTTTCCTCAATTGAAACTCCGAATTTTTTCCTCAAACTGATTTTTTAAGAGGATTCTGTGGAAAAGTTTTATTTTTGTCAAGTCTGGTATATATACGTTCAAATGTTGATAAAAGTAACATAAACCTCTCCCCCACATTGTTTGCTGCACATAAGGAAGATCTGAGCCAACTGCTTCCCTTTCCAGTAGTAAGATATCAACTTGACTGTGATTCCCCCCACCCGGTCTGTGTACCAACAGGTCAAGTCAACTCTGACTCAGATAGGGTGGGGGTGGAGAGTAGGGGGTTCCAAGTTTACTTTCACGAGTATGTATGTCAGTGGCCCAGTGGTTAGGCTCTCGGACTCACTACCCTAAGGTCGTGGGTTCGAATCCCGTCAGGGGCCCGATGTTGTGTCCTTTGAAAAGGCACTTTACACAAATTTTCCTCACTTGTCAGTTTATTAGTGTTTGAGCACTTAATCAGCTGCTTGCACTATATGCTTCCCGGGAAGCTGAGAATGTTTCTGAGTGTTCTATGGTCTGCTGGGGTAATAATATAGTGTAAAGCGCTTAGAGCCTGCTGTTGAGTGGGGATATGCGCTATACAAATGCTATTTTTTATTATTATTATTATGTAATTTGTGTGTGTGTGTATTATATATAGAATCTATATATATATATATGTATGGGTGTATCTCCAGGTGATCATGCCAGGCTACTGCGTGGCTGGTACCGTGGGGCACAGAATTCTCAACGGGGCTCGCAAGATTGAGCTGGAGAACAAACAGACGGTGGGTCACGGTTGTTGTTGTTGGGGTTGTTGTTATCATTCTTGTTTACATTGTTGTTGTTGTTATCATTCTTGTTTACATTGTTGTTGTTGTTATCATTCTTCTTTACATTGTTGTTATTGTTGTTATTGTTATCATTCTTGTTTACATTGTTGTTGTTGTTATCATTCTTGTTTACATTGTTGTTGTTGTTGTTGTTGTTATCATTCTTGTTTACATTGTTGTTGTTCATGTTGTTATCATTCTTGTTTACATTGTTGTTATTGTTATCATTCTTGTTTACATTGTTGTTATTGTTATCATTCTTGTTTACATTGTTGTTATTGTTGTTGTTATCATTCTTGTTTACATTGTTGTTATTGTTGTTGTGGTTGTTGACATTGCTATTGTCATCCAATGTCGTTGTTAATGTTGTGTCATTGTTGTTAATGTTGTGTCATTGTTGTTACTACTGTTATCATTTTTGGTGTTGATATTTTTCTTGTTATTGTTGACGTTGTTATATTTACGTAATGGCAGTTTGTTCACTTTTGACCCTCGGCTGTACAACATGACATGCTGTAGATGTTGTAAGTCATAGATCTGTGGGACAGGCTGGAGTGGTATTTCTAAGAAAGTTAAAGTTAAAGATTTCTCAAATTCTTCTCTTGTAGAATTTGAACTATCGTGAACTTGTAAACTTTGAACTATCGTAAACTTCTAAACTTTGAACTATCCTGAGCTTGTAAACTTTGAACTGTCCTGAGCTTGTAAACTTTGAACTATCCTGAACTTGTAAACTTTGAACTGTCTTGAGCTTGTTTCCTTTGAACTATCAATTATCATAAACTTGGGTAGGCCTACTTTGAACTATCAATAAAATCAAAATGCTCTAAATAATACGCATTTATAAATATTTAGTGTATTTTCAGGTTATGTGAGAAATAAGTGAAGTATGCTTAACCCCCCC